GGCAAAAGATCCAAATCTCTTGTTCTCTTCTTGATTAAAAAGAATGGAGAAACTGCTTCTCCATTGGGAAATCCCAGCTGTGAGGTTTCTTCAGGGCCTAAGGAATCCATCTATAATTTAAGATCACCACAAACTTTTTTTTTTGCTACTATCAACTCTCTAAGAATATTTTCAAATTTCCTAGTTGCTGCATATAAGGTGGAAAAGGTGCCACTCAATGTGGCTGTTTATAACTTTCTAAATTCAGAGGATGATGGGTTTCCAATCCAGAGCAGGAGGAATGCAGAGGCAAGAATTGTTTTCATGCCTCTTCAGCCCAGCAAAGGCATCAGTGGTTGGTTTTAGTTGCCCATGTCTGTTGCCCTGGCTTGTGAAGAGAAGAGCTAAGTCCCTGCTGAGATTACCCATATCCCAGTGGAACGTCATTCCTCTCCCCATAACCCCGCTCTGGCTTCGCACTTCCTGCAACTTCAGAGCTGCAGCTGGCATGGAAAGAACTGTGCCGACTGAGGACAGAGGCAGGTGGTCTGGGTTCTCGCTCTAACCCTGGAACATAATGGATTGAGCTTTTTAAGCATGAGGTGGACACCAGTACTAGAGACAAGATAATCTATTAACCAGGTGGTCTATTAATGAGATATTCTATACGTTAGAAAATACTATTTATTTTGTGGGTTTTGAAATGATGTTTGCCAATGCTTCTTAAGGACTCCAGAGACATGTGACCTTTCTTTTACCTTTTTTCCCTATGTTTATTGCTGTTTTTCTTGTGCCATTGCTGTTGTGTTGTGTTTGTATGGTTCTTATAATGTACTTATTCGCCTGTGAGTTTTATTGGTGCATGCCATCTTGGAAGGGCTTCTTCCCTTAAAGGCTGACAAGAAGTATTTTAAAGAAATAGTAAGTTTATTTTAGGCCAAATCCACTAAACCACCACCCCAGCCACATTTATGCGCAACCACGTGCAGCTCTTGGGTGCAGTGTTCCCCTGAATCCAGTGCTCCTCCTAGGCCACAGTTCATCTGGCTTTTAATGCCCTTTTAGTGGTGCCATCCCAGTTGTTGGATTACCTCCCTAAAAGGCTCCACTGGCACCTACACTACTTTATTTTGTTTTTTAAGCAGCAAAAGGCCTCTTTATTTTCTGGGTCATTTTAACTCTTCAGTTTCTAAAAGTAGAATGGTATGTTTTTGGATTTTTGTACTGTTACTGCTTTTGTCTTGGTTACTACTTGCCTTGTTTTTAGTTTACAGTTATCTATATTGTTTTTCAGTGTTATTGTATTTTATGGTTTTAAGCTTTGTCTTGTAATGAACCTAAAGATCGTTCTGTAATGGATGATATAAAAATGTACTAAATAAATAAATTTTGGGGAAAAACAGGGAGTACATCAGGGAATAGTGTGCTAGCTAGGTGGTCCCTTTGAAGGAAGAGTCATCTATTCAGCATCATAGCTTCCCTTCTGGGTGAGGATTTCTTTTCTCTCTCCAATATTCCATTCCATGATGGAGATCTGTTGGGGGCTGCATGCCATGTCGGGTGGGGCTACAGCCAAGCATGTGGGACACTGTAGGGTAAATTTATGTAGGGCTTTACCTGAGCTTTGCTAAAGCAAGCATGTGGTCCAAGGCCGTGGATTCTTCACACCTGGCCAAGGTCCACACACAAAAGAGCCATGCAGCCCTTGAAAGATTAGCAGTTTCATTCCACCACGTGTGGGATTCATTCCATGAAAAATGGAACCTACTCCAAGGTAAGCATGCATGGCAGCTTTCCCCAACCTGATGCCCTCCAGGTGTGTTGGACCAGGCTTGGGGAAGATGGGAGCTGTAGTCCAGCACATCTGAAGGGTGCTGGGTTGAGCACATAGGGCTGCAGACTCAAAGCTGTATGCAGTCTTAGTCCCAGTTAGGACAGAGACATTGAATTAAGTTAGACCCCAATCCTCTGTGCAATTAGACAGAAACAGTTCTTTCCCCGTCTAAACGTGTACAGGATTGCAGGCCTAGTCATCTAGTTAATTTCAAAGGGTCCTTTCCAAGTGAAGGATGCTACTAGGAAATGAGGCCAGCCAGGGGCGAAGGGCGAGAACATTTCTGCAACTGAGAAGCCAAGCCAACAGGGAGTGCAAATCCTGCCCGGGGAGGTCATTCTGAAGACCATCCTAGATCTACTCCCCCCACAAGTTTCCACGAATCCGGCTCGGCCGGGCTGCGAGCAACAAACAACGCCTCTTTCTCTTCGGCGGTGTCGACTTCACGACTCTCCCGCCGCGGCGCTAGGCTTGGATGCAGGAGAGGGAACCGCCGGCGCGCGGCCGCCGCGGGTGCGTTAGGCCGGGCGCGGGGTGGGAACTTGGGCCGGGGGCGCGCAACCGGCTTCCAACTCGCCCCCGCGCCAAACCTCTGCACGGGGGCAGCCAAATGGCACGCCAGCGATGGGCTGGTGGCGGCGCGGGGAGGGGGAAGACCACGCCGAGGCGAGCTTCCCTGCAGAGAGCAAAAGGGCGATGAGCAGGCGCGGAGACCGGCTAAGAACATAAGCCCGACGCGCGCCCCCCACCGCGCGGAAGGCTCCGGGCGCCGGGCTGAAGCTGCCTCCGCAGTTGGCACTGCAGCAGTGCCGCGAAGGCGCTCTCAGCGGCGGAGCCGTCGGGCGGTGAGTGGGCGCTTTCGCCGGGCCCGTCCCGGGGCTGGGTTGGGCGGCCCTGGCGAGCGGGAACGCGGCACGCCAGGCGGCAAGCCGGCGCAGGCAGCGTTGTCCGCTGCGGGGGGCAGACGTGCTGCTGCGGGGGGCGAGGTCACTCGCCTCTTGGCCCCGCCGTGATGGATGTGGAGGAAAAGTCCTCCTCTTCAGCCTCCTTTGCACCTGCCCGCGGCTGGGAGCCGGGTCGCGAGCTTTCTGCGCTCAGGGCGCTGCGAGGCTGCACCATCCGCCCCTCTCCCCGTGGCTTGCAGGGAGTACGACGCCTGTATAGAGTAGACCCATTGGAATGACGGGGCTGAAGCAGTTCACTGTAAATTGGACCCACTTTGGCTATCTGAAAAAGCAGTGTAGTCCCTCCGGGGGCTACCTGCATGCCGCGTATATTTCCTGTATGTCCGAGGAATCTGTAAGTGCTCATTTGATTGTACCCCCCAGCAGACTGGTTTTCTTGCCAGGTGCAATTGTCATTCCCGCACCCCCCAGCAGAGCTTGTCTAGGAGGCTTGGGGCTTCTGTGGGGTGGGGGCGAGGGGCGGACAGGGAACGATCCACCAGATGGCCGAGCCCAGCCCTTTTTCTTCGGTTCCTACTTACGGGAAAAACACGGCCCTAACGTTTGCTTCTCTTAGTCTGGGGGCCGGGTGGGGGATGAGGAGATGGCTCAGGGTATCATTGTTGTTTTGAGCATATTGTAAGTGGTCCATCTTCAGGCTTTGCCCCCACGCCCGTTGTCTCTGTCAGATCCCGGGATTGCAGTCATGCAATTAAAAGATCACTTGCAGTGAAATCCTATTCACTGAACAGAGTGGGGCTTATTTCTTGGAAAGTAGGTATAAAATTGCCCTGTTAGTCCCCAGCAGTTGCAGTATGCAATTATGTATAGTAGTAGTTCATTGCTTTTCTATCTTTCCTTTTTACCTCTTACAGAGAATCCAAGGCGGCGTACTAGGTTCCCTTCCTCTCCATTTTATCCTCACAACAACCACCCTGTGAGGTAGGTTAGGCTTGAGGGCCCATGACTGACCCAAAGTCATGCAGTGAGTTCCATTGCCGAGTAGGGTCCAGAACCAAATTGCCCGAGTCCCAGCAAACACTGCACCATATTACATTTATAACCAGCTTGTTTCAAAGCAGACCTGAAGCTGCCTTGCAAAGTGTGCAGAGAAGGCTTTAAGCATGAGGATCTGTTGCAACAAGTCCTAGTCAAATATTGCAGAGTACAGCAGGAAGTGGTGTGCTGCAGTCAGTGTGGGAGGCATGATCCTTAGTATGAAAAGAAAGGGATATATTGGAGGATAGGCAACACTTGGGTTCAGGTACAATACTGATCGCACAGCTAGTGGAGTGAAGGATCACATGGGTGCAATGATCAGGCCTTTGTGCTTCACAGGGATTAGCTCCTGGATATGCGAAGTGCTAGAACGGGTTGGTTGATGTGGGTCAGCACAGCTGCCTGCAGTTTTGGTCTCTCCTAAGGGGACTGTCATGATGAGTTCCAAGTTTTCTTGGAAGGAGGTCCCACTGTTACACAAGTGACTTGAATGGCAGCCTTAGGCAGTAGTCCTGTGGGCTCTGAGAGAGGCTTCCCAGGCCCTTGAAATATTTTGGAGCTACCATTCTGAAGGCAGAGACAAAGGTGCAGCCTTGGAGGGGGAGACCCAGCCTCACAAATTTTCCTCCAGGCACTGCAGCAACTTCTGCGGCCCATGCTTCTCTGTGTTAGAAGCCATAATGGGGTGTTCTGGGCATGTGTAAGCGGCAGATAGCAGGAAGGCTTGAAGATACAGGCTCCATAGCCTTCCTTTCCCCCTGCCATGCCCTGATAGGGCAGGGGAGATGCGTACAAGTGCAATCAGTGGGTGAAAAGTCATAGAAGTAAAGGGCAAGAATTCAGTGGGAGTGGGAGAAAAGAAAAATGCAGCTCTTCCTTCAGTTTTGTTCTGGCTGTAAAAGGCTGATGGCATTTTGGACAAGGTGATTCCTCCTACCCCCATTCTGGTAGGACTGCTCAGCCTACAATAAACCCCTTTGGATTCGGTGGGATAACATTCCTACTTTTTAAGGCAAATGACACAAAGGGTAGTGCACAAGTCTCTCTGGGAAACTAATTCCAAGTAAGCCAGTTTACAGACTGGACTTTTTTTTTGCAACATTAAAACAGATTTTAATATTGAAAACAAAACAGCATTTTAATGGGGAGATGTTTACCGGTGCAATTTTGTTCACTGTTCATGACCACATCTTAGCTGAGTCCATGTGGGCAGAGAGGAAGAAGGATAGCAAAAAGACGCATCCATGGACTCCTTTGAGACTAGAGAAGAATCTTGCATAACTGAAAGGCTGTTCAGCTCCTGCATGGTGGGTACAAGGAGATGTTTGTTTATTATTTATTGGTACGAGGAGATGTTTGTTTATTACATTCATATCCTGCCTTTTTTCCTTCCAAGGAACTCAAGATGGTGTACATCTTTTTCTTCTCTTGATGTTAGCCTCACCACAACAGTCCTGTGAAGTAGGTTAGATTGAGAGTCTGCAGCTGGCCTAGAGTCACCGAGTAACTCCATGGCTGGGTGGGGACTAGAACCCAGATCTTCTGTGTCCCTGCACTCCTGCACTCCTAACCACTAACCACACAGCTAGCAATACAGGTCATATATGATTGTCTTTGAATTAATCTCTGTGTAGAGGTGCCATTACTGTAGGTTTTTGGTTATGTTTTAAGCTGCCCTATGAGATAGGGATCTTTGGTAGAATACAATGTGACTGATGAATGTGTTGCACACATACAGATTTCCAGCAGAAGCAGGGAGATTAAGATGCTACCTACTGCTATTGTGTCAGTTCCATAGATTATGTTTTTTTTATTTTAAGCTTCAGGGATAGACAGTGATAGTATTTGGTAACATACATGTGTGAAAAAGCCCTTCATAATTCATCTTGCTTTTTGTTCTTATAACATTAAGGCACATGTTGTAATTAAACATGTATTATTATTATTATTATTATTACATGACTTTTATACCCTACATTTTTTCATCTTGCAAAGAACTCAAGGCAGTTTACGAGGCTCTTATCCTTTCTGGGTTATCCTCATGACAACAGTCCAGTAAGGTAGGTTGGCCTGAGAATCTGTGCCTGTCACCCAGTCACCCAGTGAACTTCATGGCTGAGTGGGGACTAGAAACCAGATTCCCCAAGCCTCAGTCCAACACTCTAACCACTTGTGGTGTTTAGGTATGTCTCTTTAAGAGACCTGTTTATGTGGAAAGAGAACAAGGGAGTGGTAGGTATGAGTGTGTGTAGAGGTGTAGTGGTGTGTTGTTTTAACTTGTTTGGTCCTGAATTAATATGGAGCCTGTATTTGGAAGGGGATTTCTTGAGTAAGATACTACATCAATATACCACACTGGCTCTTAATTATTCTTTGACTTAATCTCAATTTAGACTTTGTTTTGCAGCCCTAATATATTAACTTTCAGGACTGAAATTAAAACCCAGGATTCTATGGAAAAGTTGTGCTTTTGGACTTAGAAACAGAGAAAGCTGACAAACAAGTGCCATCTTTTAGAAATTCTGTTCTCAGATTTGATCTGTTGATCCTTCTACCTAGGGTAGGGAACCCTGTGACCTTCCCTAAATTTCATTTCTCAGCAGCCCCATGTCAGCATAGGCAACAGTCAGTGATGATGGGACTTGTAATCCAGCATTATTTGAATGACCACATGTTCTTAACTTGATGATCAGGGGAACGGAAATTACTGGGGCTAAATATTATTTGTGTAGTGACAAAGAGGACTAACAGGTTGAATTGCTGTGGCCAGTTATCAGTGACTTGTGTTGCCTCAAGTCTTTTAGGCTATGTTTTTCCTTAAAAAATGCTTATTGCTTAGAGGGGAACTTAATTGTCATTCTACATCATTGGGTAACTGGCATTCCCTTAGGTCATTCTGTACTGTAAGGCTGGTCCTTTTAGGACACTGCCACAAAATTCTTAATCTAAAAAGTCCCCAAATGTCCATTGCTTGCCTTTTTCATTTTTTTCCTATAAACCAAACATGCCCAGGGCATGAAAGTATGCTAGAGATAGTTCCAGGACTGAAATTTAAAGGGATAATTCACTGAGATATCCCAAACAGTATGTCCAAAACAAACACAAGAAGGTTTGATGCAGATCATTTTGGTTTCTTTTTGAAGATAAGCTTCTTAGCTGAAATCTGTAACCAACAAAATTACAATCTAGGGAAGGCTTTGCTATGATTTTTTTTTAAATCAGGAGGCCAAACTAATGTTACGTAGAGCAGAAGTCAATAGGACAAGCATTGATATACAGGTTTTACTGTTTTATGGAAATATTAAAACCTTAAATTACTTGCTGAGAACTGAAAGCCATTCTTACCTTGACTGAAACCTCCTGGGGTAAACATTGTTGTTAGTTGTGAAGTTGTGTCTGACTCATTGTGACCCCATGGACAACATTCCTCTAGGCCTTCCTGTCCTCCACCATCCCACGGAGTCTGCCTAAGCTCACACCAACTGCTTCAGTGACTCCATCTAGCCACCTCATTGTCTGCCGACCCCTTCTTTTTTTGCCATCTATTGTTCCCAGCATTAGGCTCTTCTCCAGGGAGTCCTTCCTTCTCATTAGGTGGCCAAAGTATTTGAGTTTCATCTTCAGTATCTGGCCTTCTAAAGAGCAGTCAGGGTTGATCTCTAGGACTGACCTTGCAGTCCAAGGGACTCGCAGGAGTCTCCTCCAGCACCACAATTTAAAGGCCTCAATTCTTTGGTGCTCAGCCTTCCTTATGGTCCAGCTTTCACAGCCATACATTGCAAGGGGTAAACATTAGGCAAGAACAAAGGCCTTTTACCTGCAGCATTTCCCATGCCCCAGTCATTTTTGTCTGGGGTAACAAAATAACTCTAAATGTGACTAATGCTAGTTTTTATTGACACTTGCTAATGAATAAGGATCCAGATTTACAGACATTCTGAGCACCGAGTACTCTGCTGGTATCCTGAAGTAATCATTTATTTGTGAGTGGCATTTTTTATTTTACTTTTCATACAAGGAGTTCAGAACATTGTACATGCCACCTCTCATTTTCTCCTCACAACAATCATGTGAAATAAATTAGAGGGAGATGTAATGAATGGTCCAAGATCACTCAGTGAACCTCATGCGTAAGCAGATACTCATTTAAAAATTCCAATAAAAGGCTGAAGACTGCAGTCTTAGACCCACACTTACCCAGGAATACATCCCCTTGGACTTAATGGGCTGCACCTCTCAGTAGACATGTTCCAGCAGAAATAATCTGAAGGCCAGAGTTACTAAAAGAGCAGTCCTGTGAAAATTTTGACAAAAGGGCCAACTACTCCCAGAATTAGCCAGCCAGCCCTAAGTAAAATAAATTTATCTTAGATTTGATTTCAGCAAATTATATCTATGGCAGTCATGAAACTGATGCTAAATATTGCATGTGGTTACTTTTCTCTTTTGAGTGGGGCTTCTTTTATATGGTGCATGTTCAAAAAGGAATATTAGAAAGGAAAATAGAAAGGGGATTCTTACCTCCTTCTCACACTATTTCCCCACCAAGAATTGCACCTCATTTAAATCCCATCTCAGGGCAAAATGTGGAAGACTAAATTAAATTGTTCCCAGAACAAAAGTGACCTTCCTAACATTAAGGTTATTATTAGGATAGCATAAAGTAAGGATTTGCACACTGACAGTGCAGTCTTATGAACTCAGAAGGAAGTCCAACTGAGTGAAATACTACTTCCCTGCAGGTTAGTCATTATAGAGTTGCAGTTGAAAAGAGATATGGAATATGGTAAGTGACCATATTCCCAGAATCCATGACTAGTTAAGTGGGATCAAAATCTAGCAATAGCTTGAATTGTAGCCTTAGAGACCTGCTTGTCTTACTTGATTAAGAGCAGAGAACACTGAGTAGTGTTTGCCTGTACTACTCCAATGAGTGGCCTCTGCCTTTTGAGTGGCATGATGGTCATTTTGGAGCAGTGAATGGAGGTGCAAAGCTAGGTCAAGGCTGCTCTGAGTCCGCAGTGAGGTGAGGGCCCATGTCCTATCCTGGTTCCAGCCTGCTAATGGGTGTATGCACTGGTTTTATGACTGATCTTTCCTGTTCCTGAGTGTATTTACAAAGCAGATAGCCAAAGATAAAAAATAACATGATGGTAACAGTGTAAAAGTATATTCATGGCCAAGAGGTTAGTCCATACTAAGGGCACGGTAAACATTTCAGTTCCCACTGCTGTTGCAGAGTGTTGAGAAACTGCTTCCAACCCAGGCCTTGTCATTACACTTGTCTATCTTCAACTTCACCTGATATCAAAAGTGAAAAAAGCCTAACCTACTACATGCATAGATTGAATAGGGAAAACTTTTTGTCACAGGGAAAAAAGTCTTAAGCCTCACAAAGACACTTAACGGGACATTTTTGGTTGTTTCTTATTAATACAGGGCCAGCATTTGATTGCAGAGCGGGAAATCAAAGCTCTTAATATATAATTTGTGGGAGCTGCCTTTGCTTTGGTTCATCTAATGGCACTGCTGTTACATTTAAAGAAGGAGTGTTGAACTTCAGACCTGTAGACCAAATCTGGCCCAGCTGGAGTGTTAACTGGGCCCTCTGCCATTCTCCATATGGCCACAGCCCTTCTCCTGGCAACTCCCTTAACCTCTGATAGGTAGGTGGTATCCAAGCTTTTGCACATTTTCCCCCATTCTAAAAGGTTGCAATTAAAAGATTAAAATATGTTGGTATTCTTCGATTATGACCCCATCCCTTTTGCCTACCACTGGAAAGCAGCCTGTAAGAAATTGAATTATCTGAAATTGCATTCAGCCCTCAGTCTGAAAGATGTTTGACTTCCCTGATTTCAAGGCTTGCCCCATGTGCCAATCACATGAGTGCCTGACACCTGTTTGATGTCTCTGACTCTCAGTAGGTGACAATTGAATGATGCCAATTTGCATGATTGCCCTTGCTCTCGTGCTGGTGGCATGTTGGGAACAGTCCATCAGAAGCAACTGCTAAATGGGATCTCTGTCACCCACCATTGTGGAGTGGGTTATCCTGCTGTGACTCCAACTGGTACCCATTCTGCATAGCTAGTGAGAGATACCTGGAAGAAGATGCTGGCTGGGATGTACATTGGCTCCACCTATTGGATAGATTCAGTATTGGCCCTGATAGCAGGCTTGCAGGAGGTATGAACAGTGGGGTGCTCCTTCCAACCCCATTTACGTTTGCTGCATTTCCCAGTAATAGTAGGACATTATCCTGCTCTTCACCAGAGACAGACAGCTTATTTGTACACATGTACAAAAATTGTCACCTGTGAATGTATGACAACTTGCACAGTTGATTATGCAAATTCAGTGTATCTCTCAGAGATTTCAGTTTGGCAGGGGAGAGGGCCCAGGCAGTGGCTTTTATGATATTCTGAATAAGCAACAGATGGCTTGATTATGCTAAACAAGTAGTGCAGATGGTTGTATCATTGCAATCAGCAGGGAGAGTAATTCTGGGCTGGATTGTGGCCATTATTGTTGTTTCTTAGGTCAACTATGGAAATTAAAGTACAAAATCTAAGTTAGAACACTGTAACCTACTAGACCAGAAAGTAATGCAACCATTTATGCATCATTTGAAAGCTAGAATAACTATTTGAAAATTGACATAGTAGCTGTAACCCATGTCTCTGCTTTGACTCCAGTTGTGCTTTGGTCATCTTAAGTTATAAAACTGTGCATGTAGTATGTAACTAAAGTTTTTTTAAAGATTGAATTGACTCAACATATTTTATATATTTATTTGATTTATAAAACTGGATGGTGTGCATCCAGTACTCACACATATCCTTATATATAATATGTAAGGAGAAAATGGAACTCTAGTTATCGGGTATAATCACATCAAGTGTGAAACATTTAGAAACATTGTCAGCTAACTTTGTTTCACCATACCTAGCAATTTTCAGAAAGGGGTTCAGCCTGATTATATTGACAGGTGCCTGTCATTTCTGTTTCTCCCCTTGACCACTTGAGACAGATGTGATCCAAGAGGAGTGAACTTGATGGAGGCAGTTTAGCAGTTAATTTGATTTAGCAGAAAATCTGTAAATAAAAAGCTTAAAGCAATTTTGAAAAGCAACAAATCTGAGCCTTTTTCAAGGTTTGATGAGAACTTTTTCTCTCTTTGTTTTAGGATACTTTGCAGAAAATGTATACCAGTTGTGAAGATACTGATTCCAAAGCAAGAGGAAGGATTAAGCCAAATCCAGATATTGATGGTGGATGGGCTTGGATGATTGTCCTTTCTTCCTTCTTGGTACACATACTCATTATGGGATCGCAAATGGCCCTTGGTATTCTGAACGTGGAATGGCTTGAAGAATTCAGCCAGAGTCGAGGCCTGACAGCATGGGTCAGCTCCCTCAGTATGGGTATCACTCTGATTGTAGGTAGGGGCCTGTATCATTTGATTTACCTGGTTGTTACAATTATACCCCACCTTTACTCCAGGGAGTCTGAGGCACATGCACAAACCTTCTCTTTTCTTCTTCACAGCAACCCTGCGAGGTAGGTTAGGATGACAGTCAGTGACTGCCTCAAAACCACCCAGTGAGCTTCATGGCCAAATGGGAACTAGACTGTGTGATACTAGATCTGAAATCATACAAAGTTTTCACAATAGCAGCAATGTCTGTCACTTTGGTGAGGAACTGAGCATGAATCACCTTCTCGCCTCCCCCATTCACATATATTTCTGCAACAAATAAGATTCTGCTAGATTCCAGATTGACAGAGAAGGCAGCCTTTAGAGCTGGGCAAGGATGAAGGTGAAATCAGAGACATCTGGGCTCAGCCACTTCTCTTGCTCTTGTCTAGCCAGCCTTGTATGAGTGTTGGAGCCTCCTCTTCTGCTACACCAGCCAGAGCACAGGCACATGATGAAGGTCAGGAACTGCAGGGTTCTTTGCAGTTCCTAGTTAATGAAGGGTCTGGCTTCTAGACAGTCTTTGTGTGCCAACCTAGGGAGACCAAGAAGTTTGTGAATTGTGAGAATATCCCACAGTAAATCAAGCCATTAACAATACTTTCTTTTAAAATAAGAGATGGTTTTCCAATTTCTCTTTTCCTTTGCCCTCTGCCTGTTATGATCAATTCTGGGTACTGATTTTAATGATTTTCAGCCAGTAACCTAGAATCTACTGGTCGTCTTGCAAATGAGAATCAAGTGGTTTAAGATCTCATTCTGTTCATGAAGAAAATAAACATAGTTTCAAACTACCCTTCCTGTTCCATCATAGGCCCTTTTATTGGCTTGTTCATTAATACCTGTGGATGTCGGAAGACAGCAATAACTGGAGGAATCTTGAATGCCTTAGGATGGATACTGAGTTCTTATGCCTCAAATGTGTATTACCTCTTTATTACATTTGGTGTTATAGCTGGTAAGCATGATTTATTTCTGATATGCATTTGTATATTTTAAATTACATTGTACCATATCTTAACACAAAAATATCTAAGAATAGAAGTGGCAATTTACAGTTTGTTGTGTTAAGAGGAACTCCACCATAATTCAGATCTTTTTAGTCTTGTACGGGTTTCTTCTTTCACTTCAATGCAGGGGACAGGTTTGTGCATGCAAAAAATGAAGAGATGTCTCCTGTCCTGGAGTCCAACAATGACATTTGCACATGCGGGATCTGTGTATGAGGATCAGGTTGCACACACAGATGTCTGTTTTTGATGATGTGTGACATTTAAGTTTAGTTCGAGAGCCACAATGAATTAAATATTTCTGTCTTCATGTGATTGTTAAGAACAAAGCAAATACCAAAACTTCACTTTCTTTTTCAAGCTTATATCCTGCTGTTTTCCCAGAGAAGGATTTTGAGGTGACGAACAAAAAAACCCATTTAAAACCTGCTCAAACCTGTTACTGTACTGTACTTGTAAATATTGGCAAACAAATTTCTCATTTCATGCCACAGGATTGTTGTGAAATGGCAAATTGATTGATTGATTATTAAAACTTTAGAACAGGCACAGAAAGTTTTTCAGCCAATGCCCAAATTCTATTTCAGAGAAGCTCCCAGGGGGCCTTATACCAGTGTCAAACAAAGCTGAAGGCAAGCACAAGGGGGTCAAAATACCAAATATAGCAGCATATTGTAACTTACAGCTTTTTGAACCTTTAGGAAACAGGAAAAAAACTGCCCAAATGCTGGGAAACTGCCAAACAGTTGGTGAGAGGAGAGGAGTGAGTGAGGGACAGGGGGCGTGGCCTTCTGGGAAATCTTGGAAGGGCAGATTGGGACTCCCAAAGCACTAGAATTGGCTATAAAACATTTCCGGGGTGGCTTACACAGAATGGTTAAGTAGATAGAACACACACAAATGCAACAATGTACTATACAATTTAGCCATTGTTTTTTAGCTCCTTGTGTTATTTTAGTGGAGTGCTTTGTGCTTTTGAACCGACGGCACATTGATGATACAAAGGTGTGTGATACAAGCATGATCCTGCCCTCCCTTCAACATCCTATTTCAACAATGCAGCCAAGAGGCCACTGAAATTATTAACATCAGGATGGTCAGAACTTTCATGTTGACAAAATCCCTTTGCTGCAGGGGAAATGTGTCAGTAATTTACTGTAAAATGTGGCTCCAAGTAAACAGGACTGTGAAATGTGAAACATTTGTATTCATTTCAGAAAGCATTTTAAAGAATATTCAAACTACACTGAACTGGTTTAAAGAAGTTGAGTGGGGCCAGTGTGTCTTTTCAAGAAAACTTTTTACTGTTTTGCATTGCTGAACCTTGTGAACGATATTCTCTGGGGTTTGTTCAGGTCACTAAATTTGGTCTTCTTTGATGTACACTTTCTTCTAAATTATTTACTTGATTGATAATCATTTGAAAACAGTAGGCAGCTTTGAACTGGAGGAGGCATTATTGATAGTTGAACATGATGGTTGATTTATGAGTTTCAAGTGATATATAAACTTGGATTATGCAACCAAGCAGTCAATATAAAGTAGCATAAGACGGTATGGCCTTGTAAGCTGGAAAGTTTATATGTAGTGCAATGCATTCCTAAGCACCTTCATTTTGAAGTATGTCCCACTGAACACACTGTGGCTTACCTGCCAGTAAATGTGCCTGGTTGATGCATCTCCCCCTCCCCCCCCCAAAAAAAGTGTAGAACTAGAGCAGGTGTAAAAAGGGGCAAACAAAATGATCAGGGGCCTGGTGCATTTTCCTGCGAGGAAAGACGACAACATTTGGGATTTTTCAGATTAGGAAAAAGGGCTAAGGGGCCGCTGTGGAAATGGGATGCTGGACTAGATAGGCTTTGGGTCTGATCCTGTATAAGTGTTCTAGATGCAGATTTAATGCAAAACCACGTTAAAAGGGAGTATTAAATTGCGGTACAATTCTATGCGTATTTAGTCTGAAGGAAAATAAAGCCTTAAGGCTCCCAGCCTATGGCAGCCAGCATTCTGGGAGATGTAGGTCTTCAGGGATTGCGCTCTTAATGAATTAGAGTTTGAGGCTGTTGCTTAATTTCCCTACATTCTCTGTCTTTAAATAGAGCATTTTAGACATCTCTGCCATGTGGTGGCTTATGGTGTGTGGCCACCTAGAAGTTGCTGTCAACAGTTATCATCAGCTGTCCATTTACAGAATGCACAGGCAGCCTTTTGCTCTCAGCTGTCCTCCTTGTAGTGTGACTGTATAAATAGATGGGCAAAGGGGGAGAAGTAAATTTTGCTGTGTGCAGAAGAGAAAGCTGATTTTTGGAGTAGAGAGAATTAATCAACAGCAGCACTGTAAGGAATTACTGGTGGACAGCTGTGGGGCCAGCCTAAGACATATTGGTATCTGAAGTGGAAAATCCTAATGGCACCCTCTGCTGCAAAATATACAATAATAAGTGAAATCAAACATTCAGACTCCATTTAATGGAATAGAAAAGCTGCTATCTTTGGTTGTCATCACCTTCCATCTTCTGATAGCACTTTCCTGTGACTAATACTCTCCAGAATAATAATGAGAAGAATCTTTATGTTCCGTGCTCACATTCATCCTAAAATGCATGGGAAGATCCCTAAGAAAAATCTTCCTGAAACTTTGATATAGAAACTTAGGGGCTTAGAGATAGCAAAAGCATTCTCCAGCAAAAAATGCCTTAGTCTGCAAATATGTTCGTATTCTTACAGATGATGCAACAGAATTGATCTAGGATTGGGTTGGATTTTTGCAAAAACCATTTAAATTGATTAACTTAGAGATTTTTTGAACACATGAAAACAGAATAGAGATCAATTTCAATGCTTTTCTCAGAAAAAAAACATTAAATACTTGCTGAAAATAGAGGTTTAACTCATATAAAGTTAGAGACTACCATTTTTACATGCAAGGTAGCATCTTTCATTAGAGTAGACGATTGTCCCATGAGACTGTGGGTTATATCCCAAACACTGTTTGGTAGATGAGCACCGAGCGGCTGAATAAGATTTGTTGACTGAATATTTGGTGCTAGTTTAGGGGCCAAAAATGACCGGAGAATAACACTAGGTATTGTCCTTCTGGTGACAGAGATGTAGCCTGCAATTCTCAGAATCATTTATAGAGCATAATCATAGGAGCATTGGAAAGGGCCTTTTGCCATCAAGTCCACCCCCCTGTTCAGTGCAGGACTCCAAGTTAAAGCATTCCTGACAGCTGGCTATCCAGTTGCCTCTTGAATGCTTCCAGTGTTGGGAAAGCCCACAACTTCCCTAGGTAATTGATTCCATTGCTGTACTGCTCTAGCAGTTATAGAAAGCAGTCCAGAAAATGACTTCATAAACTTAAAACCCATTATTCTATGTCCTGCACTCTGGGATGATTGAGGAGATCCTGGCCCTCCTCTGTGACAGCCTTTCAAGTATTTGAAAAACCAGTGTGGTGCAGTAGCTAAGAGCCTGGGACTAGGAGTCGGGTGATCTGGGTTCTAGTCCCCACTCAATCGTGGAGCCAAATGGGTGCCTTGGGTCAGTCACAGACTCTCAGTCCAACCTACCTCACAGGGCTGTTGTGGGGATAAGAATGAGAGCAGGAGGAGAAGAATGATGTAGGTCACTTTGAGTTCTTTAAAAGAAGGGCAGAATATGAATCAAATAAATAAAAAATCGTATCTTCCCCCCATTCTTCACTTTTCTAGGCTAAGTAAGCTCAGTTATTTCAATCTCTCCTTATAGGGCTTTGTCTCCAATATCCTGATTATTTTTCTTGCTCTCCTCAGAAGGGCAATAAAGATGATAGAGCAGACCACAAGCAATCTCCCATTGATTATATATTGCATATCAATAGGTCCTGATTTTACAGGGGCTATATAGGTCTGGGGAATGTATTCCATAACAATTTCTGCATAAAGTATGCCTTAGGATAGGTGGAAGAACAGATCAGTGGGCTAATCTAAACCTCAGTTTAACTACCCTTGCCATCACCCATTGCTGGTACTGCCAAAGATTTACCTATTGGGCTTGCAGGGAGTATATGCAAGGATGACACATCATTCTCTTGCACTTCAGCCTGTCGTAAGCCTGGTCCAAATTAGTCACTGTGAGGGCTGGTGGTTTGCAGGACCAGCTGCAGCTCTCTGGCTGGCAGGTGGCCAGTTATTGCTGCATGGATAGACTGTGGGCAGGCTTATAAATGGCTGAAAAGGAAGAATTACAGCAGCAAGAAAGAGAGCACACTATCTGCCTAAAAATGCGTGTGAAAATTTATATGTACAGAGGAGAAGTTAGTAATTCTTGTTGTCATTTAAATAGAAATACAGTACTTCTCTTCACACCACACAGTGGAGTGGACTGGACTGTGACCAGGTGACCCATGCACTTGTCTGTTCAGTCTGCTTCTCAGATGCAAACCGTCGAAAGACAAACTCTTAGGGTTCTTTTTCATTAAGTTGGACTTGGACTGGATGGCCCTTCAAAGAGAGGATAGAGGTAAAGGTGGTCTTCTGGTATTCCCTCAGATAAGGGACTTGGTTCTATAAGAGGAGCATACACAGCCACCTTAGCCATGGGAGGCAAAGCAAAGGCAGACATTTAGATGGACAGAAAGGAAAGCTGAAACTGCAGTGAGCGAGCGAGGGTGGCCAGGAGTTTTTTTATTGTTCACTCTAATGATAAGTTGCATCAGCTGATGATCGAGGTCACTTTTGCAGGCATGCCTGGTGACCTGATGGCTACTTTTGTTGCATGTTAACTACTGAGTCAGTACATTACACCGTTTCTTCTCAGTCAAATGTGTTGGTAGCGCAGTGCAATAGGCAGTAGGCTAGTATTTCTTCCCCCTTTTCTCTTTTTGGATGCAGAAGTACAGAGAGGAGATTTGGCTTTCTGATTCCAGGTCAATCAATATGGAACAAAACACACAATCTCAGTTCTACACATGCAACTGAGTTCAGGACATCTGAAAGTTTTCTCAGACAGCCCTGTCAAATTAATAGTCACAATCAAGTTCAAGGATACTCTGATATCACAGTCCAGAGCAACTTCATGGAGTGTATTCACAATCTGGACTTGTGGTTCCTGAAAGTTCTTGCTATTTACTGATTCTAAAAGCTGGCATAAGCAGAACAGTCTGGAGAATGCATGAGGGGTGAGGGAGGCATACTGATGCGGTTATAGGATTAGCCTGTGTAAGGAGAGTCTTGCCTGCAATCACGGCACATCAGCTGCGGCCACACACTTCGCAAGTTGCTGTGCAAAAGTCGGGGTTGGATTCAGATTTAGTCATACCTAGAAGAGACCCACTGAAATCAATGAGACTTAAGTCAATGGGTGTATGCTAGGTATGATTAAGTCTGGATCTAGCCCTTGATGTGCCAGTTTAACTGCACAGTACTTGACTTGGTTGCACTCAAAATGTGTCATATGCAGTGTGACCACACCAGCGCTCATGGGACTCATGGTCTATGTAGCAGGTCATTTGCACTTTTAAAAATGATTCCTCATTTCTGCATCAGGGCAGGTGAGAGGATCTCTCTTCTGAGAGCCTCACTCTTCTGGCCCATTCTGGGACTGAACATTTCCCTGTTTCAGTTATTTTCAGAAGTGCCATAGCCCCATAGATCAAGTGCTGTGTTCCCCAGTAATGAGTACAGTAGTTTCCAGCCCTAAGCTTTCCTATACCACAAAAAGCTTTATGAAATGCTGCAGCAATGCCAGTCCCATATTTGAGTGATCCTTGTATAAAGCCACACAATGTCCCGATTTCTCAGCATGGTTGTGCAAGGCAGTTCTGAATGCTTGGCTGATGCTATGCTAGATCATAATATTTGGCCTACGTCAGTTCAGCTTGGATGAATTATGCCTAGTAAAGGACTCTTAGATATGTTTGGAATGTCTGTTTTTCAGGTGTTGGGAGTGGTATGGTGTACCTGCCTGCTGTGGTCATGGTAGGAGAATACTTTCAGAATAGAAGAGCATTTGCCCAAGGACTCAGCACAACCGGAACAGGGTTTGGTGCTTTCCTAATGACAGCTTTGCTGAAATGTCTTTGCATGGAGTTTGGTTGGAGGAATGCCATGTTCATCCAGGGTGCAGTCTGTCTGAACCTTTGTGCTTGTGGAGCACTCATGAGACCCATTCATTCCAAGGAGGATGTTGCTGAAAATTGTGGGGAGAGAAACAGTTGCAAAGGTCAGAGCTCCGTGAATGATCTCTCCTGCTCTGTAGAAGCAGTGAAATCTAATGGTGTCTTAAAGGAAGAAGAAAAAGGACAAGGTAAGGAAGAAAAGCTGGGCAGTCTTCTAGTGTTGGAAAACAAAGATGAACCCAAACAGAGGGAGAATTTCTACGCTCTTTGTATTGTGAAGACAGTGAGCCAGCTGACAGTTACAATCCAGAAAGGCTTTGGGACCTGGTATTTGAGTTATTTTGGAGCTGCATCCCTCTTCACTAACAGAAAGTTTGCAGCCTTTGTCTTTTGGGCCCTGTTTGCCTACAGCACCTTTGTAATTCCTTTTATTCATCTCCCAGAAATCGTGAAACAGTATAACCTTTCTGCACAGAATGATATTTTCCCCTTGACTTCAATTATTGCTATTGTCCACATTTTTGGTAAGATCCTCCTTGGCATCATCTCTGATAGCCCTTGTGTCAGTGCTTGGAATGTCTTCATGGCAGCTAACTTTACTCTTGTCTCTTGCATTTTTATTTTACCACTTATGCATACTTATGCTGGATTGGCAGTGGTTTGTGCCCTAATAGGATTTTCCAGTGGATATTTTTCACTCATGCCTGTTGTAACAGAAGATTTAGTAGGGATTAAGCACCTTGCCAATGCCTATGGAATCATTATTTGTGCCAATGGGATATCAGCACTCCTGGGACCACCATTTGCAGGTAAATGTGATATTTTGTTTGACTTACTTTCCATACATCCATCCCATATTCATTAAAAATCTCATGACAGTTTACAACATTTTAAAAAACAATGCAAACAGTAAAACAATTAAAAACTCCTTAGTGCCAGTACTTGATGCTAAAATAATTAAAATACTATTTAACAATGTAAAACTGGGTAAGTAAAAGTTTGGGCCTGGTACCAGAATAAATAAAGCATCGGTGCCAGATCCACCACTCTAGGGAGCAAGCTCCATAATTGGGGGTGTTAGAACAGAAAAGGCCCTTCTCATAACAGCCCACCTCACCTCTTTCAAGGGGGGCTGTTAGGAAAGGATCTCCACAGATGATGTTAAGGTCCAGGCAGGCTCATACGGAAGGAGATGTTCTCTTAGATAGCCAGGCCCTAAACCATTTAGGGCTTTATATATCATCATTAGCATCTTAAATCAGGCCCAGGGTTCATTTGGTAGCAAGTGTAGCTGATACAGGACTGGCATAATATGTTCTTATCTTCTGGCCCCAGTCGGCAATCTGGCAGCTCTATTTTGAACCAGTTGCAACAACCAGTTCATCTTCAAGGGCAGCCCCACATAAAGCATGTTACCGTAGCCCAAGTTACTAGTGTGTGAGTTACTCTTGCTAGGGCCTGCCTGTCCAGGTTAGGATGCAGATGATGAACCAACCTTAGCTGAAAGAAAGCACTCCTTGCCGCAGACGCCACCTGGGATTCAAAGGGTAGCTTAGGGTCAAAGAGTACTCCCAAGCTGCGTACCCTGTCCCTTACCTGAACAGTTGACCTTCGCACCAGCAACACTCCTGTTTTATCTGGATTGAGCCTCAATTAATTGGCCCTCATCCAGTCCATCACACCATCCTGACACTTGTTTAGAACAGTCACCCCCTCACCTGGATTGGATGAAAATGAGACGTAGAGCTGGATGTCATCAGTGTACTTCTCCCAGCAGTTTCATGTAGATATTGAACAGCATAGGGGATAAAATGGAACCCTGTGGACCCCGTGGCATAACTGTCATGGTGCAGAGCCACAATTTCCTGGCAACACCAACTGGAATTGGCCAGTGAAGTAGGAGTGGAACAACCAGAAAGCAGTGCCTCTGACTCCTATCCTAGCCAGCCTATCTAGAAGCGTTAGGGTTAGGGTTTTGCCAGTATTTTGTAATGCGGTGCCTTCCAGAAGTTTGAACTACAGTCCTGATCAGTTCCAGCCATTGATCAGGGAGGAAGGAGATTGTATTCTAAACCATCTTGAGCGATCATGTTGGGAAGGGTTGTCCAGGCTGTGCAGTCCTTAAAGGTCATAGCAACTAATTGCATATGCTTTTCTCATTTGCAGTAGCAACATCATTTTCATTAAAAATACTGCACATTTATTTTCTTCCTCCCTTAAGACAGACTCTAATTTAAAGGGGGCTTCTAGCAGAAATTTAAATTGCATATGGAACCTTGTCAGCACTGTCTTTCTCAAAGATGAGCTGATAGTTTCTTATCTCATTGACTAGGGTTAGGCTCCAGTTCACTGGCTTCAGCATAAGCAAAACAGTGTGCAGTTTGAATCAAATCGTTACAGGTCACTCTAGATTGTTCTAGTGCTAAAGGGTGAGTCTCACCATGCCTGCTTTGGCATAATCAACTAAATACACATATAGAATGCACAGGCTCCATACTTTTTTCGGATATGGAGGTGTGTTGTTGTTATTGCTGTTGTGTGATGTGTAAGCAAGCAAGCAAGCTCTTTCCATGAGAACTTGAGTCTTAATTTTGATGCAGGGGAGACATCAAAGATGGTTTTGCAAGCCGTCTTGAGATCCATTTTGGATATAGATGGGATAAAAACGTTTTAAAAATACAATATAAATAGAGGAAAATGGAAGTAGAGTTCAACAAGGGAAAATGTGTGTGTATTCCTGTTACACACTTAGGCTTAGTTGCAGCAGCTTATCAGATCTAAGGCAGCAGTGGACATTCTCCAAGAGCTGGGTAGCATACTGTATCCTGGGACCTATCAAGGCCTGCCACGCAGTATTGTGATTTTGCAAGGAAGCAAGGCGTGTGGGGAGTATATGCCTTGTTTTCAAGCAAAATCTCACTTCTGTGCCTTATTTTCTTGCAAAGCTGCCATGCTTTTTACCACCAACATGGTTTCATTCAGTGGCAGGTGAACATATAAAAAATGGCCAGTCCTGTGTTGCCCACTTGTGATTAGGAAAAGGTTTAAAGGCTTATTGGAAAAAGTGAGTTTTGGGAGGTATTGGAAGAAGAGAAATGGCATCACACAGATTTTGGGAGGCAGTTCTGGGTAAAGGGCAGCAAGAGAGAAAGAACAGAGTTGTTTGAGGAAATAGCAGACCTAATGTAATGTAAAAGAGGATCTAGTTAAAGGTTTCCCATGTTGGAAATTGTTCAATTTAACTTTGAAGGTAGCATTCTGTATTTCTAATTTTTAAAGTATTTATTATGTCTTTCATTATCACTTCATCTTATTTCTCTTATTATATTGCATTTTTAATGTGAACCGCATAGGGATTTTAGTATATTAAACAATATAAACATATTATAAATAGCATTCTCATAATAATAATTCTGTAGATGGAAAACATGAGATGGTGTTGACTTACAATCTTTCTATAAACTGAGCCAATAATACCTCTGTTTCTAACTGATTTGTTGACCATACTCTGTTGATAACTGGTTCATTCTTGTTTTCCAGGATGGATTTATGACCTCACACAAAAGTATGACTTTTCTTTTTACATATGTGGCTTACTTTACATGGTGGGAATACTTACATTGCTGATACAGCCTTGTGTTGGCAAGAAAAAGTCAGCGCCAGAAAAAAACACAGAAAATGGAAAAGTATAGGACAGTTTACTGAATGTTTTTAGACTGAGTGTCATTTCTTCATGTTTTCTGAAAAGTGTACAAATGGTATGTTAGACGGGACCAACTGGACAGAATTACACCAATTTTGGCCACTGAATAAATGTTCACACTGCCACTGTCAGTGGACTGGTGGAAAAATCCTTAGCTGGTAGATCTAAAACCAAAATATCCAAACACAGAGTGGTGTAGGATTCAATAGGTGAACATTAGTTTTCATTTGTGATTTACAGTGGTTTAACACAAGCATAGCTCCATAGACTGGAATTCATTTACCCTCATGCATTGCTAACATGGAAAAAAAACCCCAAAACTGAATTTATCCCTTTAGGAATTACTGATGTGAGAATAATTCCTATGGGTAATTCCAGCCGAAAAAAATAGTTATTGAATAGAACTTAATAGTCTACCTGTGTTAGTAACTATACAGTAATTTCTTCCTCTAAGCTTTAGGGGAAGGCTCCTCTAAGCCTCTAAGTCTAAGGGCTCCTGATAATGATTAAAAATCTAGGTTTTCATTATGGGATAAATTTGTTCACTGTATTGAGGCCGCAATGCAATTTACTGTATTTGAGCTCTCTAAAATAACCTTGAGATACCAATGTGGTAAAGTTGTACAATGGAAAGAAAAGTCAAAAGCTTTTAGTGGTTACAGATGGGGAGATGTATCCTGGTTCTTAGAATTAAAGGATCATTTGCCAGGTTGGAAGATCTTACGTTTTTAGTTAAAGGTGGCTTTTGGTCACTGTTGAATTGGCAGTATCATCAGATCCTAATTCAAACGAAATCAACAGCTACCTCTCGATTCTTGCTTGCAGAGGTATAATGGTGTTTCTTCTGTTGACTCACAAGCATTATTAATAAATTCTGAATAACCCTCTTCGTTAGTTTGTAAAAATGCAAATATACAAGGGTCTAATATATGGATCAGAATATGCCTCTCTTTCTCAAGGTATGGCTGATCTTTTCCCTCATGTAGGTATTACAGCATGCTCCTCTGTTCCATACTAAAGCAGTAGCCTATGCATAGCAAACAGGGTTCAAAGGAGGGTTGATGTAAAGAGAAAAGTCATGGCCGTTACAATATAGCACTTGGGATGGGGCAATCCTCCACCATCTTAATCTTCTGTAGATCAAATCTCTCTCTGTGCTGTCATGCCAAATAGCAGGTTGTTTCTGCTTCTGCACTAGAGAAAGCTCCTGATGCTCACCAACCATGGAGTAAAGCCAGTTCTTCGTCGTGGCCTCTGTGCATCACACATGTGGGTATTGCGCCTGCGCAGTGCCTGTGGTCGGAAGATTGAAAGCTAATGGGTTTGGCGGGAAAAACTCCGCTCCCCTCCCCCCTAGCTGTATATATGGTGCAGAGTGTCCGCCATTTTCCAGTCTTTGCGACTACTGTTCGTTGTGCCTCGTGCCGCTTCGCTCTTGCTTAGATCATTACTTACCTCCTCTCGCTTGTTGAATTTTCTCCTTTTCTCTTATCAAGTTAGTATTCCCTTGTTCGTGTTACTCGTTAGTACTTCACTCAGTTCCTTCATTTTTTCACTTCTCTCTTGTTCCTAAAAAAAAAAAAAAAAAACCAAACCCCAAAAATATTATCTACTCCCTCTATACTATCTTCTTCTTTTCTACTTCTGCGATGGCGCAACGGGCGGCGTTCTGCAAGTGTGGGAAGTGTGGTTCTAAAATGCCCGCTGTGGACCCGCATGACCTGTGCCTCCTTTGCCTGGGGGAAGGGCACAGGACAGATAAATGTGGCCACTGTTTGGCCTTCTCCAAACAGGCGAGGAAGAATTGGGAGAACCACCTCCGCAAACTCCTGTGGGACCAGGCTCTCCTCCAATTGGACCAGCTGGTGGCTAAGCCTCCCACAACTTTGGCTCCACCTGAAGGTCGTCCAACTTCGGCTGATTCGCCGCAACGCCTGGCCTCTTCCTCCACTGTTCTGCCCTCGCGTCCTTCCGACAAAGGTGCTCTTAGCATGGGTGATCAGCCTGTTTCCCTACCAAGGAAACAAAAGGAAAAGAGGAAGCACAGTGACCCGGAAAAGTTGCCTGTGCACAAGAAGGCCGAAAAGGATAAAACCAGAAAGCCGATTAAAAAACCGAGGAACCCCGAGCATTCTAAGCTTCAGCACTCGGGTTTGGTGGCCTCTTCGATCCCGACTCCAGTCATGGTAGCTACCCCCTTGGTCCTGGCCATCCAGGCGGCTATGAGGGTCACTCTGCCAGGCTCCCCGCGCCAGACGGGATCCGAACTACTCAGGATCCACATCGCGGCTCGATTTCGGATGGCGAAATAAGAGATTCACCACCGAGGGCTCGATTTCCAACACCTATGCCGCCTGTTCCTCTGGATGTCAACACTGGCATGTCTCCTCTGAGAAGCCGCAGGAGTTGTTCTTCGGATGCCAGATTTGATGACTGGTACCAGTCCCAGTACTCCTCCATTCCGAGAATACCAATCTGTCAGGTACTACCCAGTACCCAGAGGCTGCTCTTCTCTGCCAGCTCCTCGGAATCGATTTCACTCCACACCTAGAGACGCTCCGAGGGTACCATCTAGAGAGAGCGGCAGATCGGAGCTGCCAGGAGATTCCTCCTCCATTGTCCCACCTCCCTATTGGATGGACTCGGATGAGTCCGAGGTCGCCTCAGCTTCACCAGATGCCACGGTTACTTCATAAGGCCCAGGATCGCCTGAAGAGCCGCACATCTCTTTCGCCGAACTGATGTCCAGGCTGGTGAAGTCACTTGAGATTGAAGCCCACCAATAACCGGGACCCAGACCCAACCGTTTTTACGATGTGGTCAGGGGCGAGCAATCCACCTCCATTGCCCTGCCGTTTATAACAACCCTACAACAGGCTATGACCCAACCGTAGGACCTCCCGGCTCATCCACAACCGACTTCACGCAGATATGAAGCTATGTACCGGGTTCAGGAGGGGGACATTCCGTTCCTCCTCCGTCACCCCAAGCCGAACGCGGTCGTTGTGGAGGGAGGCACAGGGGCACACCAGGGCTGGGAGGCACAGGGGCACACCGCGCCTCGTGATAAGGAGGGAAGAAAAGTCGACTCCCTCGCACGCCGGGTCTATGCAGCCTCTGGGCTCGGCTTACGAATCTCAAATTACGAAGCGACTTTGGCGCGCTATCAATACTTTATCATGCAGCACCTAGACAACATCTTTGCCACCTTCCCAGACAATCAAGGCGAATTGGCAAGGGTTTTTGTAAAAGAGGTTATGCAAGTGGCGGTGCAGCAGCTCTCTATAGCCAGGCACCATGTGGATACGGACTCGAGGTCTCTGGTCGGTGCCATTCCTTTCCGCAGGCACACCTGGTTGCATAACTGCAACTTTCCAGAAGAAATGAAGCAGAGAATTGAGGAGATGCCCTTTGACAGGTACGGTCTCTTCAATGCGAAGACCGATAGCAAATTGAAGAAAATCCATGAATCGAGGATGACGGCCTGTCATATGGAACTACAGTCCCAGCCTCGACGTAAGTGGTCATGGACCCATCCACAATACCGCCAACAATACCAGCCTCGACAGCAACCGCATCAACGCCAACAACGTCGTAGGCAGCAACCGTCCCAGCACTTCCAGCAAAGCCGTCGTCGCTTTGACGGGGGTAAACGCCAGTGCTGATGGGGTGGGTGAATCCTTCCTCTCCTTCCAACCTCACCCTTCCCCCTCTTATTCGGGGACCTGCTGAAAGGTTGGCTTCCCGTTTGGGAGTCCATTACATCTGATAGTTGGGTGTTATCCATCATGCAGCATGGATATCGAATAGAATTCGACGTTATTCCTCCATTGAGTCCCATCTGGTTTACTCCCAGCTCACCAGTGTTGCTGGAAGAGGTTCGCCAACTCCTTTCCAAGGGAGCTATTCGTTGCTTATCTCTAACAGAAGGACTCCACGGATTCTATTCCAGATATATTACAGTCCTGAAACGGGATGGTGGTCTCCGACCAATATTGGACCTAAGAGATATTAACAAATTCATAACTCCAAAGAAATTTTGGATGACCACTCTTCAAAATATCTTACCGCTGCTGAGGAGGGAGGATTGGTTCGCCTCACTGGACTTGAGGGACATCTATTTTCATATTTCGATCCATCCATGTCATAGGCGTTTCCTCTGTTTTGCTGTTGCGTCTGAAATCTACAAATTCACCGTGCTTCCGTTTGGACTGGCCACTGCCCCGAGGGTTTTTACAAAGTGTATGGCCCCTATCTGCACGCACCTACAACTTCGCGGGGTCCAGATATACCTCTACCTTGATGACTGGTTGTTGGTTTCTCAAACCAGAGAAGCACTGTGTTCCCCTATAAATGTTACCTGCTCCCTGTTACGGGATCTCGGACTTTGTATTAACCGCGAGAAATCCTCTCTTGTTCCTGCACAGGTGATCCGTTTCATTGGAGCTCGTCTGGATTCTACGGTAACGAAGGCATTCCTCCCCCGTGACAGACAACGCACCCTTGCTCGACACATCCATCAAATTCGAAGAGACAAAATTGTTCCTGCACGCTCTGTCCAAAGGCCGCTAGGGCATATGGCTGCATCCATAGCGGTCATCCCATATGCCAGGCTTCGGCTTCGGCCCCTCCAACTTTTCTTCAGCAAGGTTTTTCGGCCGCAAAGGGATTTGCCCACAAGACTGATTTGACTTCCATCCTCAGTTCTTCAATCTCTCATATGGTGGACAGTGCCAGACAACCTGAATATCGGGGTCCCATTCCAACTGCAACGCCCGACGGCGACTCTCGATACCGACGCATCTCTGCTCAGCTGGGGAGCACTATGCTCGGGCCCACGTACTCAGGGCGTCTGGAATCGACAAGAGTCCAGGAATCATATCAACTTCCTGGAACTTCTAGCAGTTTACAAGGCTTTTCAGTCGTTTGAGGACATTCTTCGCCATCGAGTCGTTCAGATAACCTCGGACAACATCACTACAGTCTTTTATCTGAACAAGCAAGGAGGAACGAAGTCACCAGTGTTAGCATGGCTAGCGATACAAATCTGGGAGTGGTGCATCCAGAGAGATATCTCCCTGATCGCAGTGCACCTCGCCGGTACGGACAATGTGGAAGCCAATTTCCTAAGCAGACACATGTCCACATCCCACGAATGGGAACTGGATCGCCAGACATGCGATCACCTTTTCCAGCGCTGGGGTCTTCCAGAAATAGACCTATTCGCTACCCAGAGGAACCGGGTTTGCGAGGTTTTTTGTTCGAGAGTGGGAATCGGACAGGGATCATCCGGAGATGCCTTTATGATCTCATGGAACAACGTTCACTTTTACGCTTTTCCCCCAATCCCCCTCATGAGAGTGATTTCGAAGATAATCCACGACACGGCCACAGGAATATCGATAACCTCATGGTGGCCACGGCAAGCATGGTTTTCGACACTCGTTCACATTTCTTGAGAAGAATACCTTCAGCTTCCATCCATTCTGTCGCTCATTACCAGGAGAGAAGGCACAATTCGCCACCCAGATCTGACATCACTGAGGTTGACAGCCTGGTGAATTCGATAGCAGTCCGTTTTGACACAGTATCGATGTTGTCTGCTGTCTCTATGAATCCTGTCCCCAAATCCGATGTACTGCGCCATGATTTGCACCTGCCTGTCTTCCCCATGTCTTCGGTTCCGATGGCCGTTTCCTCGGTTCCAACAGTTCTTTACCTGGACATCCAACACATTCTTGATTCTGCGCTGAGGCCGTCCACCTGAAAGTCATATGCGGCTAAGTGGCGTAGATTCTCTCTCTTTTCTGAATCACGATCGTTTCTCTCGCAGTCAGCATCCATAGATCATATTCTCCAGTTCTTGTTTGAACTCCACCAGTATGGACTTAAGCCATCCTCCATAAAAGTGTACACGACTGCTATTTCCTATGACCAGGGTGCTATCCAGGGCTCCTCCATTTTCTTTCAACTGCTAATAAAGAGATTCCTTAAGGGGTTACATAGCCTTCATCCGGCAGTCAGACCGCTTATGCCCACTTGGAGTCTTTCAGTGGTGTTACAAGCGTTAACAAGACCTCCTTTCGAACCTTTGGCAACAATTGATCTCCATCTCGTCTCTTGGAAAACTGCATTTCTTGTAGCAGTTACATCAGCACGGAGAGCGAGTGAGCTCTGTGCCCTTAGGGTGGACCCTCCGTATTTGAACTTCCATAAGGAAAAGGTAGTTCTACGAATGGATCAAGCCTTTGTTCCAAAAGTGGCTACCTCCTTCCACATGGACCAGGAAATTGTTTTAACCGCCTTCTTTCCATCTCCGTTGAATCCGATTGAGAGGTCATTACACACCCTTGATGTACGGTGCCGCCTTGCCTTCTATAGATCAAGGACTGAGTGTATTTGGCACTCCAACAAGCTCTTTGTGGAATATTCTGAATCCAGTCAGGGTTCTCCAGTCACCCCTCAGAGACTTTCCAAGTGGATAGTACAAACCGTTATTTTCTCTTACCAGTTAGCTAAGTTGGACTTACCTATGATCCCGAAGGGTCATTCTACTAGAGCTGTGGCTGCTTCTTCCGCCTTTACGTCTGGAGTTCCGATTGACACTGTCTGCAGAGCTGCTACCTGGGCTAACCCATGCACATTCGCAAAGCATTATTGACTGGATGTCCGTGCCAGGCAGGACTGTTCCTTCGGCAGAGCCGTTCTTTCATCTATTCTTCGTTGATGACACCGCCCTCCTCCATTCAGGGTAAGCTTGTTAATCTACCCACATGTGTGATGCACAGAGGCCATGACGAAGAAAAGCAGGTTGCTCACCTGTAACTGATGTTCTTCGAGTGGCCATCTGTGCAGTCACACAACCCACCCGCCAGCCCCGCTCGGTGTGATTGGGTGGCATTTTTTTCTTGGTACCATGTTGTTCTTGTCCTCGGTACCTATACAGTATTTTTCAAACTTGTCGGCAGTACTGACACCGTTCTTTTCATTAGTTCCATTTTTTTCTCTAGAGAGTGAACGTCCGGTCTATCAAAGACTGGAAAATGGCGGACACTCTGCTCCATATATATGGCTAGGGGGAAGGGGAGCGGAGTTTTTCCCGCCAAAACCATTAGCTTTCAATCTTCCGGCCACAGGCACTGCACAGGCGCAGTACCCACATGTGTGACTGCACAGGTGGCCACTCAAAGAACATCAGTTACAGATAAGCAACCTGCTTTTCTCAATAACATTGCAAGGGAGATGAAACCTAATCTTGTGCCAGTTCCTGGTGTTGAGCACATTATTCTGTTCTGTGCTGTCGCTATGCAGTCAAAGTTGAATTTTATAATCTAAGGGCAGCGTTATTTAGGATGTGGTCTTACCTTGCATCCAGTAATAAAAATACACTGTGGTAAATACTAGACTACACATTAGACACACATTGTTTTATTTTTAAAAACCTGTGGCTAATTCTTCTAGGCCGGGGTGGTGTACAGATGGCCTCTGAGCCACATGTAGTCCCTGTGTGATTCTTAGTGCTGCTGAATTTGCTAGTGCACCAGCAGGAGAAAAGCCACTTTAAATAGACCTTTTGGTGCAAATTTCTGTGGTAAACCACATTTTTAAAACTTACATGTTGCCACACTGCCCAATTTTGGTGATACATTTGGTGGCATAGGCAGGGAGGGTTTCAGGCTCTTTTAGGTTCCAAAGGAGCAGAATCAGCTCCCCAGGCTCCCAGAAGTTGTTCACCTCTTTTCTACGCAAAACAACTTTATAAGGCAACTTTCAGTAAAGAAATGATGGTGAAGGGAATGGGTAACCTTTTTGAAGCTGAATGGTTTACTGCTGGAGTTTTCTTCTCCAAGACATTTCTCATGTCTGTGGGTTTTCAGGTAAATTGCAAATATATCATTGTAATACTAGTGGCAAGTGGGGAGGTGTTACAACAGAAAAGAGGTAGGGAAGGCTTGAACATTTGTGACCCATGCTGCATCGCTGAAAATTGCCACCTCCTGAACTGCCTTGCCTGGAAAGAGCATGCATGTACAATGTGTAGCTTAGCCTTCAGTTTACCACCTTTTATTATTGCACAGAAACATTTTATCTATGTTATGAAGCAATTCTTCTTGATTCTTGCCAAAGACAATTTCTCAGTTCTAAGGCAACTGGAAATAATCTTTTTTAGCATGCTCTTTTACTATCTCCTGGACCTTATAGGTAAACAACCTCCCAAAGGGATTTCCAGCCTAGGAAATGTCTCCTGAGACATTCTGAAATTCCTTGCTGTCTTATTGTTTGTGTAACGTAGATCTGTACCATTTAAATTCTTAAAATGGATTGTGTAAGACAATTTCTCAGGGACAGGGCTTGTCGATATTAGGTAAAATTTGTCCAAAGTAAATATATAGCCTTAGAACCATTTTTACAATTTTAATATAGAATGTTTGATGGAAATGTATACAATGTGTGTGTGTGTAAAATAAGTCACAATGGTACAAGACATATAATCCAACAACACTTTAACATGCATTACTTCAATCATTTAAAAAAAAAAACATCTGAGTATATGATGCAAATACAAGATTTATTTCATGCATTTGCAGTAATAAGAACAGGTGCAACCTCCTGTACCCAAGGAACTAAGTCTCAAATTTTTTGAAAGTTAGTCTCTCCTTCAAAAATTGCCCTACCCTCTGTGGTCTCTAATGCAGCATCAATCACCTGTTCCCTAGATAAACACACATTGCACACACATGTTGTTATTAAATTTCTATACTGCTCCACAGCTAAAGCTCTCTGGGCAGTTTATATATGCTTTTCTAACTGCTGGGATCTTGGAACACTAAACCCAAATCTGGTTTGTGAATAGAACCTGATTTCTGACTCCTTTTAAAGTCATAAACAGCAAAACATCATTAGACCAAAGTCCTTTTTTTTTCTAAATCAAACTGGGATGATGGAGCAGTGAGGGTCCCCTGCTAGAGGGAATTCAATCCACCCAGATCCTGGTTGGTGAGAGCAGAAGGCACCTCCTGTTTTAGAACTCTAATCCTTTTTGGATGTTTGTTTCTGCCACTAGGTTCACTATCTCAAGAGGAGTCTGCCTCACATGTTCTGAAGTAGTAGCTTAAGGTATAATACAGGCACTTTCCGTGGAGATTTGATTTGCATAATTCTTCCCTTCAGTAAAGACAGTCCAATAGGTTCCATGTGCATGAGACTCTAATGAAAAACCTGCATCATTTTAGGGGTGCAATAGAGAGGGACCCATCCAGATAGGATTGGTGGGCCAGTTAAGTATGTGAAGAAGCCTCTGTTATCATATTTTGAGTGTTTCTAGAAATTATGTGGTAGTTTGTCTTATGAAAGTACTTTTCATTACAGACTAAATCATTAATGCAGAATTGCAGTACTGAGATCTTCTGAAAATGTAGCACAGTCAATCTAAACTACACAACCAATGACGATAAACATGAGCTTGTTGTTACTTTTGTTGGACTGCTAATAAATGTTTATTATTTCTCGTGAATCTGTTAATTGTTCATATGGAAATACTACTATCTATTGCTTTAAATTTGTAATTTATATAACTTATATTTCACATTATTTTTGTTAAAAATTAGAATTAGAATCCTAACATGTTAACCATTTCTGTTCTGTGTCATATACTTTTTTGCATAAGTAGAATATGGAATCAGCCATTTTTTTAGTAACTTACAGTACTATCTTGAATTCCACAACACTGCACTGAGATAATCATCTTTCCAGTGACAACTAGGATGATAAAAAACACTGGAGTAAGATACAGTTTGAACTTTTGGTGAAAATGGAGAGCCATCCTTGGCCATGACCTTCAGTAGACACTGAGAGATACTGTTCAGTATCTTGACAGCTGTATGATGAAAATCCAAATTAACTTGCATGAGAAGTAAATTTCTATTAGAGCTGGAAAACTAGTTCAGCTTTAGACCAGAAATAAGAATAAAGACTGCCACAGTGGTATATAACTAACCCTTTTCTATTTTGATCTAGAGACCAAGCACCAGTAAATCTATCCTTATGCTGGAGTGGAAATCCAAGAACTGCAGGTTCTGCTGAAGTAGACTGGGGGCAGGGGGCTGTAGTTCTGTTTGCCAAAGATCCCAAATTAAATGTCCAAGTTCTCCATGAAGAGCTAGGAAAGAATTCTGTCTGAAGAGCCACTGCTAGAACCAGATGGGCAGGTATGAGGTATAGGGCAGGTTTCTATGATCCCCAGCAGTTGCTTGGCTAGGTTTGTTCAAAATCTTCAGAAGAAATGCATCATACAGATTTGCAGCTCCCATTTAACAAATGTTGAGATTGCCAAAGGCATGCAGCAGTGTCAGTTGCTTGTCTCTTAACCACATGGTTGATCTGGCATCCTGGCTCCTACACATTTTCAAGGACTAGTTTACCCTGGCGCTAGAGGTGAATTGTGCTACCTCAAATATTTATACATATTTATTTTCATGAATGCTTTCACTAACATACATGAAAAGGAAATAAGAATTAGACTTAATACTAGCAGTCCACATTAAAACAATTTATTAAAAGGATTTGTAGTTTCAGAATAGCACTAGAATGATCACACATGAATGTACTCAAGTTATTTACAAAATATTTTATAAAAATGTTATTTTAAAGAAATATCTAAATAATATTTATAATAATACTGATTATACAACTTTCTAAAGGTAAGGAAACCAAATAATATCATTTAGTTTAGCCCTGAACAGTTTTACAAAAAAATTAGTCCTCTGCCAAACCTGAAGTGAAATACATACAGTTAAAAAGAACTAAATTCAAATTGGCACATTTTCTAAAAAGTCAGACATTGCAACAGCATAACTATGAAATATAATTTTGATCTGTATCATTGAATTGAGATAGGGAAGTGACAAAAGTGAATAGCTACTGTAATAAATGAAAATTTGTTTTCAGTTGAATAGCATTCTAATCTTACAAGTGTAAATTGTAGCTGGGTTAGATGAAAATGGGTACAACAATGGCATTGTTCTAGATCATTTGGCTTTTTTCACTGTACTTGTTAACAAGCAGATTTAATGTTTGATATTAAAAATGCAGTGATCTTGCCTTCAAAAATAGTGTCATGGGATTCAATATCAGTTGTGCAGTTAAGGATTCATTATAGTGTAAGCTAGTCAGGCCTCTCATATACTACATCAGCCTGCTAATTTCTTTCAATTTATAGTCTAAAATGGGCTTCTCAAACGAGATCAATCTGTTTTGATGACTTCCATTCTGGTACCTATACCTTTTCTTGGTGGCAATGTTCTCAGTTTTCATGTTTCTAGATTTATGTCCAAACACACATACAAAATCTTTTTTTCTTGTGCAGCAGACACATATAAACTGTCTACAGATGTTTCACGTTTGTGGCATACAGTACACTTATGCACTATCCTTTAGTGAGCAGAGAATCATTTGGAAAATTTCTTCTATTATTTACACAAGGGTGAGAAATACAATATACTGGCAACCTGTGTCATGTGATATGGCCATGTCATCTGTCAAGGAGTTAATGACCTTGGGTTGGCAAGTACTTTCTTATCAGAGGTATCGCATCTCTTATCTTTAGATGTTAAGCTGGTCTCAGAAACAAAGTATGAAAGCAAATTGTTTCTCTATACATTAAATTGTGGCAAAACCAATCTTAAAAATATTCCATAAATTATAATTAAGTCTGCATTTATTTCATCATGAATGAAAAATTGAACCAAATCATTTTGTTTCTTCCATTCATACCCACATATGGTAGGAGGGCCTTTCTCTTACGGCAATAGCAGATTTCAGTGGCCACGTGGAAAGGTGCCAGTTACTTTTCTGAAAGCGCCCTGGGTGTTGTGTTCTCTAAGCCATTGTGGGAAAAATTGCTGCTGCTAGTGTTGACCATTATTTTTTTTAGTGGCTGCTAACACCCTCCCCCAATTTCCTGAGCCACAGCACAGCATCTTAGTCCATTCTGAGAAAATAAATTGTGGGTTCTAAAATCACAAAAGTCAGCTCCTAAAAGAGGAAGTAAAATAAAAGATGACAATGAAAAGTTGTGTTAAATAAAAATGAATGTACCTGTAAATGAATAACAAGCATTAATGTAATTGAAATGAATTACCTTTTTACAGAATAAAAATGTATGGAATAATGAACTGCAGAAACTTTTCACACAAGCTCACTGAACCAAATTTCTTGTTTGAGAAAGCTTATCAAGATGCTCTTATCTCAACAACTATGCAGATTACAACAGTTGATTCCAACTGGCAAGACCACACCTTTAATCTGACAGGCTTTCTGATGAATCAGATTTCTTTCTCCTCCTTCGAAGCTGGAGCTGGAGCTGCAGTTTGTTAGTAAAGAAAAACTGTTTCCATCCCACATCTTGTGCCAGTGATCTCATTTCTGGGGTAATTCTGCCTGATAGATTTTCTACAACCATCTCCCATAACTTGTCAGAGTTGCATAACTATTTCAAAGAAACAAGAGGGTTAACAAATCTTATACATTGTTCATTTTTTTTAAATTAAAAATATATTGGAAAGCAAAGTCATTTAAATCTGATTCACCAGGCTGTTTGATTTCCAACAATGGCAAAGCCTTTTTAAAGAAATGAGTAAGTATTATAGCAGTAGTTTACGTACCTATCGCTTTTTTTAAATTATAGAACCTAGCATTAACTATTACAGTTTAATCAAACTGCATTTTCTTTCAGGTCAAATCACTTGCATTTAAATGCACTATAATTGTCACTCAAAGAATCTGTCTACAGTTAACATCTATCATCACAAATTATTTTAGTGTTTTATTTTAATGTGATTGTGGCATGTTTTAGACTTCATTTTTTTTTGCATATTCTCCTGGTATACACTATAATTAAAGATGGCTTCAAAACACTAAGTAAGTAAATAACAAGATATGATTTCCCCATTTTAAGTGTTGTCCATCTTCTTCAGTTAGAGTGGGAGAAGAAGTCCCCTCATATCTGTCCTTTATACTAGTCCAAATTGCTCTCTGAGTAGACTCTGCTACATTTTCACATTCCTGTTTGCATACCTTCTTTTCTCCCAAGTGAATCTGAAGAGGCCAACATTAAACATGGTTAAAATTTTCACTTAACAGAATGACGGATTGTATTGGAATTTTGAGAATGAAATAAAAGAGTTAAATTCCCATGGAAAGCACCTATGCCCTCTTTAACTGAATTGCTATACATTGGGTATTAGCTCCCCCTGGTGGCATTTTGCTTTACTTAAGTGCTATGCAACCATTTAAAATTTAAAGCTGAGGATGTAATATTCACTAATCATGGCTAGTCAGTGAGGAATATGGCATATCCTTTGTTATCTTACTAGGTGGGATACAGATGTAATGCATAATATAATAATATTTTATGACAGCCAGACAGTCTGCGTTTTTTTCTCCAATAGATGGATATATATAACAGAAGGAGGCATAAGGCCCAGTGGTATAAAGCACTACAAGGAAGGGGATATATTTGGAATAGTGTCTTATGTAAATATTAGAATAAACAATATTATAGTTAAGCACTGGCTGGATATGACATAATGTTGACATTTGGAACTATTTTTCTCAAGCTTGGACGCCAAATTGTCCAATGCAGAAATACTGCATTTCAGAAATATTGCTAGTTCTTTATAAAGCTCATTTCTTTCTAAACCAGTAACTAGCAGATAATGGTGTCTGAGACTTTATGGTTGTTGCATGTGTTTGAAAGCACTCAACTAGACAATAATTAGACATCAGGTGAAAGTGCACATCTCCTGATATGGACTATTTATGAGCTATTAAAGGATAACATATTTCAAACAAATGTTTACCGTTTCAAATCTGTGAGATACTTGAGAAAGCCTAGCAATGTCTTCAAGATCCAAGTAGGATATGATGTATAGAAGCAATGCATCAGGGAGTCGCACCAGGAAATCAAAATTACCCCGACACATATTGAAGATATGATCCAGGGTATCTCCTCCGAACACAATGGCAATCTGAACTGTAATTTTTAAAATACAACAAAGATCAGAAAGACTAGCCATTCCATTAAATATATGGAAAATTATGTTTTGCAGAGCTAAACAGTTTAAAGATGAGCACGTGCATATTAAACTACACAAGGTGAGATCCACAGGTTTTCAGTGAAAAAAATTGCATGCCTGGAAGAAAATTACAACTTTAGATATGTAATGTTAACTGAATTAAATCCAATGTGGAACTCTTAGAAGTTTATTGGGACTTTCTCCTCCTTTATTCCTTCCTGTTACCTTTACTTCTGCTCTAGAATGCTTCCCAGCCCTCTGAAATGTATTTTTAGTGTTGGAAGGAGAAGGATTTGGACAGGCAGGGACCAACCCTGTCTTGATTTTGTTAATGGAACTTTCTGCTAGTGTAATGACAAGACTGGACACACCCTGCTGCTGCATGGCAATAAAACTGCTGACATTAATGATAAACACTAGGCATGATAATTGCTAAAAACACACATGATATACCAACAGTGCAATCCTACATATATTCACTGTTGAACATATTTGAGAATTAAGGCTACAACAGTAACCTTTCTTCTTTCCAATTAACTAAAGTATATAATAGAATATATCAGAGATGACAAAGTATTTTACATACAAGTACATAACTGCATTCACATTTAATGATATGTGTAGTCTGTTGGACAATAAAAGGAAGCTGCAAACATACATGAGAATGACTAGTCATGATTTAGGTTATAAAAGAATCATAATAAAACATGGCTTTTTGTGCTATTGTGGAATTTTCCAGTGTTTAACCCTATGCAATTTTGAGTATTTCCTTAGCACTTTTAACTCCAAAATCTTCATTTGGCCGGGACTGAAATGTAGGCATACAAGACAAGAAATAAGCAAGCATATATTACTGATTCTCTGTTAGTACAGAATACATGAGAAATTTCCACCTATGGTCAAGCAAGACTGGGACCTCCAGAATGTGTAAACATCTTTCTCTATGTTTAGTGCCTAATGGAATCATGTTATCTGGCATATCCACTGTTTGTCTGTCTAGAGCCCCAATGAGGAAAGTACCATGCAGGAAGCATGAGAAAATCCATCATTTGTATTCTTGAAGTTTACACCCAAAATATGCATTCATATCCCTAAAGTTTATACCCAAAATATGTATACAATCACCTCTTGGATTCTGCACTGGTCACTCATGATGGGAAGAACAAACTCTCCATGTTACCTATATTCCCTTGTACCTATTTTCATCTTAAGGACACCCCCCACCCATTCAAGGTTTTAAAAAGGAATTCTGATTGTAACAAATCAGAAAAGAGAGTGTTCTTTTGTTCAACAAGGAACTCTCACCTTTTCTTGTTATTGACATACACTCTAATCTTTTACTGTTTGCAGAATTCAAGCCAAACCTATGATTTTTTTTTAAGTTTGAGCCCAGCTTATTCATAATTCATGAAGAACAACCTGTAGGACCCTGGTGCCCTAGTCTGAAGGCAGGACCCTTCTGCTCACCTCTGTTTTTGGAATAGCTAATATTAACACTTCAGTTTCTTTCCTTTTCAATTTTGCCTTTTTTCTTACACCTCCCTAATTTGAGAAAGATACCTGTGTTGCTTCAGGCCAAAGTGCTGTCTTTGTGATGGCCTCATCTCCAACCCAGTTAACTATCTTACCCTATCATCCTCCTATTTCCTTATCAGGTATTAGCATTCCCTTCTGCTCTGTCTTTCCAAAATATCTGTACCTTGTCCCATCTCTTCTCCTCCTCCTGCAACCTTCCCAATAAGTCACAAAATAACTGCTGGTCCTACTGGAATGTTGTTCATGGGCCCCATTTTGAAATAAGCAATGTATTAAATTATTCTAAACTCTGGTTTGCTATCTCTTCACACTTTCCTCACAACTGACTGTCCTAAGTACTCCTTTTGTATGGTTTTTGATGAAAGATATTACTATATGTCATTTGTATACATTTATATTCATGTAGACCAGGGGTTTCAAACTCAACTTACCTGGGGGCCGCTGGAAGTAGAGCCTGGGTGAGGCTGGGCCGCATCAAGTATTCCACCACCGCGGTGGTGGTGGGCCGCTCATCCCACGGCTGGCCCAGATGCCGCCAGCGCTTTGAAGGCCACAGGGCCCCTCCCCCATGCCCCGCCCATCCCGGCAATTGGCCCGCGGGCTGCGAGTTTGAGACCCCTGATGTAGATGATGACATGAAAGTTAGGCTGAGGTAACAAAATACACCATCTCACAAAGAACATGAAACAATCCTAATGTCTCAATAAAGAATGAAAAGTTGTTACTGTATCCTCCAATCTAATAGAATGGAACCAAAATATATATGCTCTTGTGTATGGCTATTCTGTTTAGAATGAACGGAAAGGTAAACTGAAACATGAAATAAAATGAACATAGGAAGATTGGATTATCAAGTTTTGATAGAATAGCAGTATTTAAAATAAAAATCTGATATAGGATAAATCTTCTGTTCATGTTACCAATTGATAGACAAACTTACTCAACTCAAAGAATCACAACCTATGCAGGGTGGGAGAAACACAGAGGAGAAAGTCCTGTCCTGCAAAACACCTGGACAGGCAATTTTGGCTAACTCTGATGCTTTGGATGGGGGAGGGAAGGAGGCTCAGTTCCACCAGGATACAATAGATGGTGGTACTGGACTCTTCCCTTCCCTGCTACCCGGAATGCCCAACAAAAACTTTATGTGATGTCACTTTGTGGCCCTGTAGCCAGCATGCTGACTGTAAGGGAAGGGGACAGGGGTCCAAATGCAGCTCCTCAAGCCAGAGTGATTTTCTGACCCTTGACAGGAAACTCAAACAATCCTATGGTTTCCTAGGCATTGTCTAGAGGCCACTGAAGTGCGCTCTTATTAAAAATGCACAATTGACTAAGTTTTGAACCTAAAGAAAAGGGATATAGTGGTCTGTTACTGAAATGCTAATACACAGAGAATCATAAAATTTCACAAGGCTTGTAGACATAGATGATCAAATATAAAATCAAATTAAAGAGCATGATAATGCCCTGAAACCCAGCATAAATTGGCAAGAATACAATTGCCATTGAGCTTGGCTGCTTCACTCTGCATAATGTTTAGACACTATTACTAACATTTTGAAACCATTATTAGTTCCTGATTATTTAAAATGTTTATCTCATAAGTATTCCACTATAAGCTTAAAGTGCCTGTGTATGATAGTAAACTGGCATAATGTTTAAACTGGCATAATGACAAAAATTATTTTATCTTTGCTTGAGGAAAAACAAATATTTTACAAAAGCATTTTTGTGAATGCCTCCCAGTGTTATAAAAGACATACAATTATAGCATGAAGACCAACTATGGAGAGGCAAAGTCAAATGTTAATTAATTACTCTAAAAACTAGAGATAAAATTAGCTAAATGGAATTAGCTATGGAATTTTGCATTTTTAGGATCTTACCAGAATTAGGATCAGATTTTCATTTATCAACAACTCAGCCCATTAAAGTAGTATCACTGGCTTAATTGTCATATTTTTTCACAAATTAATATATTTCTCTCTTAATTTTGCCAAAGTTTTAGACAGAAAAGGTTTCCTAAACTTGGAAAGATTTGAAGGAAAGTAAACAACCTTGGAAGTGGTGTGTCAGTACTGGTTCGCTTTTCATTTGGAACCTTCATCCCTCGGAGGGATTTCCTCCAAGCTGCACCACTTCGTCTGAGGCAAATATTCCCTGAAGAAATGTTCCACCTAACTTTGCACTTAAGCATAGAATAGTCTTGGGATACCCCCCATGGCTGTGTACTCCTCGTAGCTTCTAGGCTTTCCTAACTCCTGGATTATTTCTAGTTATTCCTGAAGACCCTTTATCCATTTCCCAGTACCCCTCCATATTCTGAATTCAAGTCATTCCATCAGAGAGATCTTTTAGCAGCTGAATCCATCTTGATCCCATTTAAACTTCTCCCGTCAAGCTGAGTAAATCAATCCTTTTGGCTATCATTAGTTCTCCCTGAACTTGTCTGTGCTGAATTTCTCAACTGTCTAAGACAGAGGATACTGACTTTAGTTAGGAAATAGTGACATGGGGGAAAGAAAGCCTGTATTTACTTGGGGATGTAAGAAATGTATTTCAGTGTAAAGGCTTTCAAGACCTGGCTCTCCAGTTTGCACAACTTGTCAAGGGGATACAGACTTCTGAAGCAAAACTAAGCCCTGTTGATTGCCATTATCTTCAGGAACTCAACCACCTTCTTTCTAGGACTGGAACATGTTACCTGCTCCTGGCCCTTGGGAACTTTGGTTGTTGCCTTTGGAACTTGCCTTAGTTCTAAATCGAACTTACTAAATGCCTCTGGCTACTTTATGCTACTTATTTTTGGCTCCTTAAAGCTCCTTTATTTATGCTCCTTTGGCTCCTTATACTGTAGCAAACAGTACAACCACAGGCCCTAAAATCTTGGGGATTGTCCAGGGGCTGACACACTGGGCCCTTTCACACTCCTTCATGCATTTAACCTGCTGCTGCCTGCTCCTGATTAGTGGAATCAAAGGAAAACCACCTCAAGGTACAGAAGGCAGGGTGAGTGACATAGGAATCTATCTTATACCAAGTCAGACCAGTGGTCCATTATTCAGCATTGGCTCTTCTGAACAGCCATCAGCAATCCAAAGGCTCATGTGAAGGTCTCATTCTTTTAGCTAGACATTTAACCTGGAATCTTCTGCACGCAAAGCATGTGCTCTACCACTGAGCTATGGCTTTCCCTAGAAAACTGATTTATAGCACATTTGAAAAAAGGGTTGGCATCTACTCATCTATCCCAATCATGAATATTTGAGATTTATTTAAACAAATAGATGCCATCTTATATCAATGACTCTAAGGTGGATTACAAAATTTTAAGAAGTTAAACATGAAGCAATATATGCAATTATAACAGCAGATAAAAATCCAATAAAGAAAAATGGTTAAAATATTTATGATGGCA